GAAGTCCACGTGCACACGAGCATTACGCAAGTCCTAGACGTGAAGGAGGAAATATGTAACGGAAAGAACATAACCAACCCTTCCAAAGGTGTAGGGAAGGCGGAACTCAGGGAGAAACGCTATCGGCCTCCATTTTTCGAGATCCTTGTGTTTAGGCAGTACGTATGCGTTGCCTATCCTTCCCTTCCTGTTCCATGCAGCCACCTTCTCCAGTCCTGCACTTTTATAGCTCTTCCTCATTTCCACTTGGATCTTTGTCTCCGCTTCTTCTACTCGGGTATATGCAGAACTGAAGACGAACATCCTCTTGAGAGCGTGGTGGTATGTGGAGGGGCAGATTAGCACCAACTCTCCCGAAATACGGTCCACTTGTGTGATGACTAGGTGGCGGAACCTGAGCTTGAGTCGCTTTACTTCCTCTTCACCAATCGCGAGACTGTCATTGCGCTCCGCAAAATAGCTGTCTATCTGCAGATCTCGTTGCTCCACCGTCAAATTCTCTCCCCAATTTGACAACATCTTGTCTACAGTACAAGCCTTGGAAATCATTGGCAAAGAAAAGAGAGAAGTGACCATCCTCATGTTAGACATGGAAAAAACATATGACAAGGTTGGTTGGACTTTCGTTAACACATCCCTAATTAACATGGGGTTCGGAAATCAATTATGCACCAGGGTCAAAGCAATGTATTCCAAGGCAACTGCATCGGTGCTTGTAAATGGGCTTCAATCGGAGGAATTCACCCTAACACGTTCATTGAGGCAAGGTTGTCCGCTTGCTCCGCTCATATTTGTGCTACAATTGGAAGTCCTCTTAGCCAATATAAGAACCAACCCCCAAATAAGAGGATTCTGCCTGTCTCCTACCTACCAATGGAAAGGAGGCGTCATAGCAGATGACTTGACTAACCTGCAAAAATACGTCAAGTAGTTTGACTAAACTTTGTAGAGTCATAGATGAATATAGCTTATTGTCAGAAGCCTCAATAAATTGGGATAAGTCGATATATTTTCTCCCCCCCCCGTTTGAGTTTTGTGTCCCCTGGGGCCTTCATCGAGTCCCTGCAACTCTTCGGATTAGTTTTTGGGCCTTCAAGTGTCTTTCATTGACTGTGCAAGAGCACAAGACAACATCTAAGTAGATAAAGTGGTGGCAAGGATTGAGGGTTGGGAACGCCGCTCTCACCTCTCACTGTTTGGGAGGGCTCTAGTACTATCTACTTCTGCATTCTCTTTGTTGTGGTTCCCGCTGACTATTCATGCTCTGGGGGATAATGCTTATAAAAAGATACGATCGGCAGCGACAAAGTATCTGTGGAAACCCGATGCAACAGAAGAACAGGGCTTCCTTTCCAAAGTAGCTTGGGAGGTAGTAGCGATGCTAAGACAAAAGAGAGACCTGGGGATTCTAGACCCCCTACAACAGAATACTGCTCTACTGGCTAAGTGGCCGGTTCAGGCCATGATGGAGGGGAAACATAAAATTTGGATGACAATTGCAGAATATATTTTGGGGACCGACTGGGAACTGCAGGATCATTCACAGGTATGGCTATGTAGGCTCATGCCGTCCTTCAGCAATCAAAGACCAAGCTCGAAGGTATGGAAAAACATCTTGAGAGCATGAAATAAGGTCAAGCCAACAAAAGTGTTCCCCCCATTCACTAAACAGGAAGTACTCAATCAATTGCTTTTTGAAAATCCTAGCATTGTACAGGTAGACGGGTCTACCTTCTCCGCTTCTGAGGCGGCAAGCTAGATCAAGAAAGGAATAATACAATTTAGAGATATTTGAGACCCTATTTACTCAAGATTCCTTGATCCGACTCAACTCAGAAGGAAACTCCCCAGACTTCATAACGTGACTTCACACTATAAGGAACTGATTGCGGCCATTCCAACCCAGTGAACAATCATACTTCAACCTGATGCACCACCGGCAACTGGCACTTGGTTCCGAATGAGAGAGCATCCGAATCAGATTTTTCAAACTCTCGGCCCGGACTACGTATCAAGCCTGAGAGTGTAGCGGTGGCGACAACCCAATGGATCGGCTTGCTCAAGCACCCTATCCCTGGAGGATCTTGACTTCAGATTGGACGAAGTAAGGGACCCGATAGAAGTGAGGTTCCTCTATCATACACACAATCAAAGGAGCAAGGCTGTCAAGCTTTTGCGGGATGCGGATAACTTCAGAGTGGAACCCCTCCTGATGGGGTGGAAAGCTCGGGAGGAAAAAGGAAACTTTATCCCCCTGATCCAGTACCACCCTAAGGTAGGTGTCCAACTCCAACAATCTCAGTTAAAAAAAAAAAGCCCCGGCTCTAGCAATTAGCCGAGCGGAGGGACAACTATATGGAGTCTCAGAACTAGGGTTTCTTAACACTCATAGGTAATACTTGGCAGCTTAGGGACACTTCAAAGACATACCCCCCTAAAAGGAGGGTGGGAGTTTAAACAGTAGAGACAACAGTACAAACAACAGCCTTCTGGGCGGCAACAGGCCGATTTGATTTTATTTTTGATTTCATGAGCTACGATACTAAAAGAGATAAAAGTTAGCCGCTGCTCAGGGCAAAGGAAGGACTAGTGTATAAGTGATGTATCTGGCGTGGGGTTAAGGCGAAGAGGTTCTCCCTTCCCCCCAACATCCTGCTCGGTCAATCCTCTGGACCCCAGGGTAATCAATGCCGGCAGAAACTTCTCAAGAACTCCTCACACCTTTGTTCCAAACAAATTCAAATTTCAGTCAGTGTAAGGGACGTTGGACCCGTTTTTCAGCAGGTGCTGCTCCCCACCAATAGATGGAGCTCCCCCCATGTGCTAGCGGTGTCTGCTCTTGTCAGCACCACTAGCACTAACGGAGGAATTTAAAAAAGAAAAAAAAAAGGCTTTTTAAGTTGTGGAAAGCCTTCAAGAATCACCCAGTTCAAAAACACGCAAGCATCATGTGGCTCCAGTCGCTACTGGTGACAACTACGGCAATGTGGCTGTCTTCCAGAGGAATGGAAATTTTCACACAATGCTTACGATGCAACTGGGGATGGGAGAATATGATCCACCTCTGGCTCTACTGTCCACTAGTGGATGAACTGATGATGTGGTGGAAGAGACAATGGGAATCTATAGTGGGCGGTAGTTTCATCTGGTCAGACTCTTGGATGCTCACGGGCCTTCTACCCCCGGGCATGCACTACACCTCACACTGGGGCTATGTGGCCCTAGTATGTAGAGGGGTTCTGATGGAAACGATATGGACGGTTCGAAACGCATGAATATTCAGGGGCGAAGACATGTCAGGATTCCACCAGCACCAACGAATTAAACAGAGCATCAGAAGGTTTATTCGGGCAGACTGGCATCGGAAGAACTGCATTTGGTTTCGTCAGACTTGGGCCCTTAACAATAGATTAGCATCAATTGACCAGGAGGGAAGGTTCTCAATTAGTACTTGGCTGTCAGATTCTCATGATTGAGGGGTTGCCCAAGCTCAGGAGGCCGCGGTTAGGTCTACCACGGCAAGGGCGTTACTCAGTCTTTACGGTGGAGTATGTCTTAGAGTCGTCCCCCTCTTACTTTTTTTACTGTGCTTCCAGTTGTATCTTTGGAAAGGATTCAGAATAGGCTAAATGTCAGTCCCTACTGTGCTGTTAACCACCGGTACCTCTCCCTGCTTGAGGAAATCGACGCGACCGTTAACGCGCCTCGTCGCGTGGGGTACCCACCGGCGTGCGACCGGTAGTCCCAAAAAAACGGGGCCAAAAAAA